AAGCAGCCAGACTTTAGCAGTTAGCCTCCGAATTTGGAGACCCATGGGTTCCGAGGACTCTGGCGGGCTCACCCCTTTCAGACAGGGGCGGCACATGCCAGAGAACAGCTTTTGCAGCCTAACAGGCTTGCACTTCCTGCCTGAGTTCAGTTTCGGTTCATTTCCAGATGCGCCAGTCTAGCTTCCTCAGCCCTGGGCTGCGTAGCCATTTCCTGGCCGCCTGCTGCACCCCCCGCCCCTGCCCCCCCCATCCCCACAGGGGACAATGCCAGCTGCTCCGCTCTGCTTTCTGTCACCCTCGGCATCAGCCCTGTTGTTCCTGATTCACACACCCGGAGTTTCTGCCCCTGCACCCAGCTCTTGTCACGCTCCAGGCGTCTCAGCACACACAAGATTTTCCCATCAGCTTCTGATTTGTCCTTGCGCCTTCCTCTTCTGGGTCACCTGTCCCCTTTGCAGACTGATCCGAAACCAGAGTCTCTGTCTTGATCTCATTCTCCATGGTCATTGTGTTCTGGACAGGAATGCAGACTACCAGACCACCCACTGGTTCGTTTACCCTCTCCCACTGGGCACAGAGAGGCCTTGTTCCTTGTCTGTGAGCCCCTGTCCTCCTACCCAGTGGGCTCCTGACGGGTCAGCCCAGGAGTGTACTGCTGTCCCCACCAGGGCAGAGGGCAGTCACAACGCTGGAAAGGCTTAGCGAACGCTGAGGGGAATTGTGTTAGTCCTGCCCTGAAAATAGGGCCCCGTTAGGAAATAGTTTATCATTCAGGCTCCACTCTTTACTATGACCTTGAGCAAGTCACTTAATCTCTTCAAGCCTCCATTTACACACCTGCTAAAGATGCCAGTGATAATGGTATACCCATCACAGACCTTTGTGAGAACGAACTGGGGTTTTCAGTACAAACAGCTTAGTTTGGCAAAGTGCTAGTAAGCCCTTAGAAATGGCATCTGCTACTATTTATTGCTACTGGCTTTACCTGATTAGTATTATTGAAGTTTTCCTACTCACTTAGTGTTCAGGACAACCCTGCAAAGAATTGAAGCGGCTACAGATTCTACTTTACCAGAGAATAAACTAACACTCGGCAAAAGACTACAATAACGCAGCTGGACCTGACTGGCCTCGCTGGTCAGCACGCCGAGCGGCAGGCCACACTCTTCGGAACACAGCATGACGACAGGCCTCCGAGGAAAGGATATGTGTGCTTTCGAAGTGCAGCAGTAGTATTCAGCCGGCCCAGTGCGAACGAGTACTCAGATGATCACTTTATGTTTGGAGGGGAAACGGTGATTTATTGAGCACACTGGCTACGCTGCTCCAGGACCGAGGGAGAGTTCTATTTCCAGTCCTCGCTCTACCCCGGGAAGAAACAAAATTGGAGAAAAAAATCTCTTGCGAGACTTACTGTATTATGTTGCGCAGGAGACCGAACATCAGATTGCATGAGTGGGCTGTGAACGGTAGAGGCACTAATGGGGCAAAGGAGGGGTAATTATAGATCCAGAACAGCAGAAGGGAGAACAGAACTGTGATTTGCGCTGGAACTTGTCCTAATCTTCTGTGCACCAGCTAGAGTTGGAGGACATTTCCCTGGCCTCTCAAGCCCAGCCGTTCACAGCGGCGGGTCTTTCTGGGTCGGTACCTGGTGGTGGCCAGTTTCACGGGTGCACAGGGGAGGCTGGATGGGCTGGGATAGGGCGAGAGGCAGTGAGCACGGTGGCCGGTGGCCGGAGGCGAAGCCCTCGGCCCTGCCCTCCAGCCCTGTGACCTGTGGCCTGCCTCTCTGGGCCTCGGTTTCTCCTTTGTGATCTTGGGAGAGCCACGGGAACTTTCCTGGGCCTCCCTGAACATGGGGACTATGTCTGATTTGTCTTCCTTGGATGGCCCGTGTGTACAAGCCCCCGGAATCTGTTTTTAAGAGCTGACTTGTTCTGAATTGGAAGGAATTGTGGAAGGGATGGGGAAACAGGAGAAATAGAGGAAAACGAGGAGGGCAGGGCGTGGCGAGCAGAGCCGCCACGTAGCATTTGAGAAAGTTTGCAGGGCCCGGGGTATAAAGCAAAGGGCAAGGAGAGTTTAAGCAGCTAATGAGGCTGCTCCTGGGACCAGCAGGCAAGGCAGCGGGATAATGACCTCCCATGCGTGTTCAGCGCCTCAGGCCCTGCTAGAGGAGTGGAGGGTGGGCTCCACTTGGGGACAGTCTTGTCATTAGAAGCCCCGCATTTACAAGCTTGCCAGTTGGGGTAGCGCAGTTGCCAACTCTGTTTTCAAAAGCCAAGAAGACTAATGACAGAGTTGCTTCTGGTTTATGTTCTGCTCCAAGGTGAGTCTTAGGCTCTAACCCAAGGTCACAGGTGCCTGGCTGTGGAGTCAGACACCTGAGGCTCCATGGAAATGGGGCTCTGTGTGTCATTTCGTTGGCAGATTTCCCCCTTCCATCTTATGGTACAGAACAATTATAATATGCCTCCCTATATGAGCATACATACCTGCGGGCACTCGTGTTATGGTGATTATCAATTATCTAGTATGATGTAGCCTCTATAACATTCAGCCAGAGGCTCCTGCTCATCGTAAGTCAGGCACCTCCTAATGATACTCAGAGATCCATCTGCTTCATTCATCCATTCATTCACTCACTCATTCATTCTTTCGCCATTACTGAGCGTCTGCTATACCCATATGCTGTCCACTGGGGGCTGGGGTGGGGAATCTAGAGATAAGTAGAATACTGCCCTCTTCCCCCACCCCTAAAACCACCCAGTAAGAATAACATAGTAGGGTTGAGGTGCTGTCTGACACCTAGTAAGTTTCTGGTAAGTGAAAGCATGAAGGAATAGACAAAGGAATGAAGAGAAGAAGCAAGTGAATAAAGGAAGCTATCTGTGCCCAGGTTGGTGAGGTCCCTAACCTCGCGTGGAATGTGGCAGGAGTCTCAGAGAAATTGTCTTGGAGCTGCGACGCACGGATTCTTTTGCTCATTTTCTCATTTGGGAAACGGCAGTTGACTTCGTGGTCAGTGGTGTGCTGGGCAGTGATGGGGGTGTGGCGGGTAGGACAGACACACGCGGCGCCCATGGCGTCATTAGGCTAGTGACAGATGCTCTACGGGAGCGCAGGGAATTCCGGAGGCATGCAGTCAGTCTGGGTGGTTCGCAAAGGCGTCCCTGGGAAGGGCCGCTGATGCTGAGATCAAAGACTGAGTCGAAGGTTCGGCGGGGAAAGGGGATGGAGTGAGCTGGGGATGAGGGGGGCTCTGGGCGACAGTTTTCGAGGATCCCTCTGGCTGCTGCTGAGGGCGGGGGCTGGCTTTGCAGGAGACAGCAGCACCGCAGGCCAGGTCAGCAGGCCGGGACAGTGAGCACCCAACGTCCTTCTCTCAAACAACAGGGGCCATTAGGAAGTTCCATTTCCACGGCTTCCCTCCCCTGGACACTGCCCTGACTGCCCTCCCTCTGGCATGGCACGTATCTTCTCTGTAAACACCCCGCCCCGCCAGCGAGCTCCAAATAGAGTCTGTTCAGAGTCAACACGAGAGCCTTTAGGCAAATCTGGGGTCAGTCTGTGGCTACATCCTGTTGATTTTACTTCTGAACTAGTTTTGAATCGCTCACGCCTCATTCGCCCACAGCCCTGCCTGGTCCTCATCTGCTCTTGACCGTCCCCCCGGAGGGGCTGACCTTTCCTTCCAACACGCGTGTCAGTGGCGTGTGTGACCCCATTGCCAGCACTGTAAAGAGAACATGGTGGTTGTGTCTGTTAGCTTCCTCTGCATAACAAAGGGCCCCAAACCTTAATGTCTTAAACAACAAACATTTCTTATTTCTCCTGAGTCTGGGTTGACCGGGCATTTCTTTTAGTCTAGGCAGTTTGCCCAGGGCTTCCCGAGTAATTTCTCATCCCCCTGGGGAGGGCGTAGCTCAGGCGTGTTAACGTGGTGGCAGCCTGATTCATTCCAAGCAGCAAGAGAGAGGAAGTTCTGAGCATAAGCACTTTTTAAGCCTTTCCTCGGTCCCTTGTGTTATCAGATTGCATGAGTGGGCTGTGAATGGTGGAGGCCGTAGCTCGTTACGTGATCAAGTTCAGAGTCAAAGGGTGGAGAAATCAACTCCACTGCAAAGGCTTGTGCGTAGAAGGAGGAGTGAGCAAATTCAGGGGGCCTTACTGCCATCTTCTATCCGAGTGGCTCCGATGAAGACTTGGAGCCAGACAGCACGGGGGTGTCCTGTTTTGGTCTGTTCTCTGCCACTTACTGCCTTTGTCATCCCAGGCAAGTTGACTCACGTACACTTTCCAAGCCTCAGCTGCCCGTTCGGAACATGGCGATAGTCAGCATGGCCCCTGAGATTCCGCGGGAGGATGAGATGAGAAAACCTGTGGTCGGCACACTTCTCCACGTTTGGGACACAGTGCGAGCTCGGCGGGGAGTCTGTTTTAATTCCCAGATATGGGAATGACAGGGCTTCCAAAGCCCTGTCCTGCTGGCCTCAGCCCATTTATTCCAACTTATGCTTGCGCCATCACATCTTTATCCTTGTTCCTTGGAGACACTTTCCTCCAGGTGTGTTTTTGTTTTTGTTTTTGTTTTGTGAAACAGCGTCTCACTGGTACTTCGATGGAGAAGCAGCTAAAGATATCCTTTTCAAGTTCTTCTTTTACCAAGTTGGTCGTTTTTTTCCCCTCAGTTCTCCTAAATGTCACTCACGGCCCGTGGCCCACGTGCCCCCACGGACTGGCCTGTTGGTCTGTTTTCTTCCCCAGGCCGAGCCCCTCAAGGGCCGGAATTGCGGTTTACTCCCCTCTGATTCTGGCACTGGCTCTGTGCGTGGAACAAAGTAGACACTTACTTAAAAAATATTTGCTATAAAATCGTTGTGTAAGTGGAGAAAGGGCTGAACTCCTGGCTAATGATCTCGAATCATCTTCAAAAGGCAGTGGAACTCATGACACTTGCCCAAACTCATGACACTTTTCTCCTCTCTCCTTTCAGCTGGTGTCATTTTCAGCCTCAGCCTCAGCCCTTCTGACCTGGAAGTGCCAACGGAAGTCATGAGCTTCGCCAGGGGCTGTGGCGGGTGGCAGCTCTGAGCTTTGCGGCCAGGACAGTTCCACGTGGGGACCAGAGATGGGCCATCCCTTGACCTACTGAGGTAAATGACTCACTAAGTTCCCTGCAGGCATGAGGCGTCCTCTTTTCTGGTTCCATCCTTGGATTGTGCTGGGTGGGGTTGGGGACATGTCCCCCTCTTTCTTGGTCTCTTTGTAACTTGGCCTGTTCTCCTGGATGGTCCACAGAGAGGGAGCTCCTTCTCCTTCAGGGAAAAGCGCAGGGCGGTCAGAGTATCAGGCAACCTCTCCTTTTCTGAAAAGGAAGCCGGGGCTCTCCTGAAAATTGGTCAGTCAAATCCCAGATAGGGAGCATCTTTCTATGACAAGTGCCTGCCACCCCCGAGGAGGTCTGGGGTGTCCTGGGGTGAGAGTCAGCAAAGCCCCGTGACCCACAGGACAAGAAAGTTTCCGTTCACGCTCATCATTCAGGCCTGCCTATGCATGCAACGCAGCTGCGACCGAGACCGTGTGGACACAGGGCCTAAAATATTTACAGTCTGGTCCCAGCCGAAAATGTGGGCCAGCCCCTGGTCTACAGCTGAGCCGTCCACATGTCGCAGCCTCTCCGTATGTGGCTGTTTCTATTTTCATTCATGAAAATGACATTAAAATTAAAAATTGAGTTCTCAGTCGTACTTCTCAGTTTTCAAGTGTGAATAGCCACAGGTGGCCCCTGGCTCCCACGCAGGACGGAGACCCTGGGGTGTCTCTCTCAGCTTGGGCGTAACTGCAACCATCGTGGGAGAAGGAGGGATGGATGCGTGTGTGTATCTGTTGTGTAGGGTTATTGGCGAGGACATCCACCTACTTCCCTCCCCGCCTCCCTCCCTCTCTGTAAAAATGCAATTAGTGTTAACATGTCTTTGGGCAGCCGACCAATGGTTTGTGTGTGTGAGTCCATGCAGAAACCAAGGCCCTTCGGCCTTGGGATTTATTAGTTTTATGTATACAAATGCGTAGATATGAGCTTAAGCTGTTCCTAGTCACAGGCGGCCAGCGGCCATTGGGGCGTCCCTTCACGGTGCAGACACAAGACAGCAGTGTCCCCGGGGGCTGGAGACAGAGGCCAGGGAGTTAAGAAATAGGAGAGGAAGAAAATGAGCCCAAGATGGGGTCTTGGAAGAATGTGGAATGGGAGAAACACGAGGTGGTGAGGATGGGAATGTGGTTTCACTTTGAAAGGACCCGTGGAACGAAGTCACGGCGACCAGGCTTTATCTCCTCTCAGAACGGGTGAGCACAGCACGGGCCTTACCTGGGACACATTCGCATTCCTGGGCAGAGTATGTTCGGACCCAGGACTGCTAGTTTGTTTCATGCATCAGCACATTCTTCGGAGCTCTTTCCCGGTGCCCGGCACCGTTCCAGGCAGACAAAGACCCCGGGAGTTCCCATCGTAGCCAGGAGTGGGCAGGGGGACAGGCTGAGGGGAAGCTGAAAAACTACGTCTACAAGTGTCAGGGCTGGGGGCGGGCAGGGGTTGGGGTGGACAGCTTGGGTGTGGTGGCCCAGGGGATGTTAATGGCACCCAGGCACAGTGCTGGTAAGTAAAAGATAACCAGAGAGAGGTGAAGGGGAGCAGGGCAGGGAGCGGGGTTTGCAGATCAAAGGACAGGCCACGGGGCAGGCCTCTTTGGTCCCTGCACATCCTTTCTGGCTTGAAGGGTCACGTGCATGAACCCTTCCCCTTAAAAGTCAGGCATTTCCTCCCCGCAAATGCATGTTATCGGCTAGCCCAGAAGCAGCCTGGGGGGTGAGGCATTCCGATTAGATAAGAGGACATCCTGGCAATTCAGTTATGAAAACTGGCCCCAGAGAGAGCGGGTGGAATTTCTGTAGCTGATAACCTTTAAGAAAGAGCCCCGGTTGCTGGGACGGGGGTCGTTTTTCTGGAAGAGAGGAGACTTGGGAGAGCCAAGTATCTGAAAGGCTGTCGGGTGAAGAGGATTATTTATACCTCAGGGTTCTAGGGAGGAAATTCATGCAGAACGAGCGAAGCTAGCCTTTCATTTCAGGCTGTTTTTCCTCCCTCCCTCCCTCCCTTCCTTTCACAAATACTCCTAAATTCCTGACACTGGGCCACACACTGGAGGTAAAACAGGGTAAGACAAGAGCTATGTCTTCAGGATGTTAATAATTTCAGGGCAGAAACAGGCAAATGAACCAGTCCGTGGTACGGATGGAGGCAGTTCTGGGTTTGGTGAGGCCTGCAGCTAATACGATGGGAGTTCTCTTTAAGAAAAAAATAATCAAAATTATGAATTTAAAGTTAGATACAAGCCCTAGATGAGTGGGGTGCCGCTGAGGGGCCCTGGACTTGAAGATCCCTTGCCGCTGGCCTGGCCGCCTCCGGGTTTGCGTGCTGTGGGGTAGGTGGGGATGCCTTCCCTCCCCAGGCGCCTGGAGCCCCAGGGGCTGGCTGGGCACCAGGGATGCTTACGGGACAGACACGTGGCAGAAAGCCTGGCAATGGGACTTCTGGTAAGTCCATAGTGGATGGACTTACCTTCTGCGTCCTCTGAGCCTTTGTTTTGGGCTAATGAATTAGGACAAAAGACCTATGTCTTCGTAGTATTTATTTATGTATTTAGCCCTAATCCAATAGGATTGGTGGCCTTTTCTTTTTTAAAAGATTTTATTTATTTATATTTATTTATTTATTTATTTTTAAGAGAGAGAGAGAGGGGAAGGGAGGGAGAAAGGGAGAGAACACATCGACGTGAGAGAGAAACATTGGCTGGTCGCCTCTCATACGCACCCCAACCGGGGACTGAACCCACAACCCAGGCATGTGCCCCGACGGGGAATGGAACCAGCGACCCTTCGTTTTGCAGGACGGCCAGCCATGCTGGTTAGGGCGCTGCTGGGATTTTTAAAGGCACTGTCCTTACACGTCCACAGGCTGACCTTATGCGCCCACTTCCGGGGCTGTATTGGACTGAAGCGCCTGAATTTTGGGAGTGTAAGTGCCGGTGAAGTGTTTGCCAGCGTTTGTGAAGGGCTGACTGTGGGTCAGATACTAACAGCCCCAAACCTGGGGGCAAGGAAGTGGGCCACTCTGTGATGGGACGTGGGTGGGCTCCCCCGCTGCTAGATCGGGGACCGTGTCTGCCTAGAGCTCCCGCATCACTTCCGTGGAAGGACGGACATTCCAGGGGTATCCATGGTGGCCAGGCCCAGGGCCCTGGACAAGACTGGTGTCGCAGATACGGGGAGGGGCCACCAAAAGCATGGAAATTTCCCATGAGCTTCTAAAAGCCAAACTCATGGATCGAGTCACCCTCAAAACACTTAATTTTTATTCACACCTGGTTGATAAACATTGGGGCTTTTACCAGTGAGCTTTGTGCCCGATGGGCATCCAGTTGTGTCTGTCCACCTTTCCGGGTCACGGCACTGTGGCTCTGGGACAGGGTCCAAATTCCAGGGCAGGACGGACGAGGCTCACCGTGACCTGGGCCTCGCCACCACTGTCCCGGCCCCGGCCCACCTTCTGCAAATCCCAGAGTCGTTCTGAGAGCAGTGTTAAGAGTGCGGACTCTGCAGACGGACGGCCGAAGTCAAACCACACTTTCGTGCCAGCCCGGGGCAAGCCGCTTCCGCCCTCTTCACCTGCCAGACGGCGCAGTCGACGGCAATGGCACCGGCCTCAGGGGCTTGTTGTGAGGGTAAATCCTTTAGCAGATGTTGAAGTGCTGAGAACCCTGCTAGACATGTAGCAGTCCCTGGTGGCTAGTGTTTTGTTTTTTTTAAATGATGTTTATTCTATTACAGTTGTCTCAGTTTTTCCCCCTTTGCCCTACCCCACCCATCCCACCCCGCCCCCCTCTCCCACAGTCAACTCCCACTCTGTTGTCTGTGTCCATGGATCATTCTTACATGTTCTTTGTCTAGTCCCTTCCCCTTCTTTCCCCCATTGTCCTCCTTCCCCCTCCCCTCTGGTCACTTTCATTCTGCTCCATGTTTCCATGCCTGTGGTTTATTTTGTTCGTTAGTTTATTTTGTTGAATAGATTCCACTTATAGGTGAGATCATATGGTATTTGACTTTCACCGACTGGCTTATTTCACTTCGCATAATGTTCTCTGGTTCCATCCATGTTGTTGCAAAAGGTAGGAGTTCTTCTTTCTTTCTTTCTCTTTTTAAAATGCAGATTGACTTACATGCTGCTGCGGCCCCCGGGCACCCCCAGGCCGGGACCGCTGGGCGACCCCGCAGACGTTCCCCGGCCAGGGTCACTGTTGTGGCCGGTCCAGCCCTTGTGGTTCTTCTTATGAGTGCAAGCTGCACCTCAGAAATAACCATCATGGAGCTTTGGAGAAAAAAAAACAAAACCAAGATTTATTACTCAAGTGAAGTCACAAATAGAGAGAGAGAGAGAGGGAAAGAGACCAGACTGGGGTTCTGCTTTTATTGGGGTGGAGGGCGGGGTCCCTACGGTTTCCCTTTTTTGGTGAATTTAAAACAGGAGGGCGGGGAGGAGGGCTTGGGACGGGAAAAGCAGAGTCGTTCTCATGGTCACCTAACCAGGGCCTTTTAAAGGGGGATTTCCTGGGTGGGGCGGCCCAGCTGTCCATCATGGTGGGTAGCCGTCACTGTGTTTATTCCTGATGGGTGTCTTTGAAATGGGTGCCTTGGCGATCAAAAGCCTAATCCAGGCCTTTGCGTCATAATCCAAAAAGCTAACTGTCAGCTGCTAACACTACAAATACACGGATGCAACGATGTGGCTGTGACTGTAGGAACCGCTCTCTCCTACTGTTCCCCGTAAATAAATAACATTCACTTTAAGTGAAAGGGACACCTCCTTCTTGCCTTCTGGTTTGAACCAGCCTTCAAAACTCAACTCAAGTGTCACTTCTACTGGGAATTCTTTCCCCACACTTGCACCCCTCCCCCCGGCCGCCTCCCCCAAACACCCGACATGTGTCCTGGCCACCCTGCTTGCCCGGGCGGCCTGTGAGGTGTCCGTGTTGCCCGCAACACTGGGAGCTCCTCGGTGAGCAGGAGCGCGTGATGCCTTCTTCACGGGGGCTTATTG